AAATTTTCATTCAAATAGAAAAAAGATATAAATTAAGAAAAATGTAATTACAAACTAGATAAAAGTTTAACAAAAATTACACCAATTATCATTACTTAATTTAAAACTTTTATCTATCAAAATGTCTTTAAAGATCAAAATATTTATAAAATTACCATAAAGTCAAACTCTTTTTTAGAGAATCAAAGGAAGAGAAGAAAGAGAAACAAAATGGATAGAATTGACTCTATACCCTTCTTATACTACTTAAGATTTTACTCTTCATATATATAATCTATTTGAACAAGATGTGGATTAGAGATACTTACCAGGTAAAAGATAACTGAGCCGATTTACAGCTCTTTTGAAAACTTCGTAAACTGGGTTCACTTTCACTGCATGAAGTAAACAAAGTTAGCCAAAACCTTTTGCAACTAAAAAAAGATACAACCAAGAAATGAAAAGGCATATATATGCACAATTGGAACTCAAATCAAAAGAGTTTGTTTTTAAAGTACCATGATACGTAGGATAAGAAGCATTAACACACTGGTTTTCCTCATTAATGTAGAAAGAATCTGTCTCTCCACATGAAGCATCCCTCCACGACAACTCAATTCCATATGCTAACCAATGGTGGATGTCCAGGTAGGAGAGGTTCTCGTAATTCTTCTCCCGTATGAAAGGTGTAAGTGCCATTAGCTCAATACGGCATGAGGGTTTTAACTCAAGTGGAGTTCTGATTCCAATTTTCACATAATAATACCTTTTGCCTTCAGATTTAGGCCTATAAGGTGTGGAGAAAGAGCTGTCATTAATGCAGGCAGGAGCTTTCACATAAAGAGGATCACTTACAAGATTTCCGCAACTTATGAAAAGAACATTCTCCCAAAAATAAACATAATCTGTATTAGAATAATCATAACTAAAATAAAGATAATAAGGAGCCTGATAATAAGAATGTGAAAACGTTGAGAAGTTATCGGCGTCCCAAGAATATTGAGGAATGGAGCAGCTCCCTTCTTCAAAACTAGCATCAGCAACTCGAATTGTTTGATTGTCATAATTGATTGCCTTCACGTAGAATTTTCTTGATTGATCAGAGTACAATACTGTAAGGTTGTTCTCACAGGATAGATTATATACTGGATCTGCAGTCATTCCACAGTAATATGGCGGATCTGTGTTTAATCTGAAAGGGTAGCTAATATTCGAATTATTTCCACAAGAAGAAGGTGGACAGTAATGTTTATCTTTGGCACTGCAGGTCTCATGAATTAAGGCGAGAAGAAGAAGAGCGACAAAGATGAGGCCTGGACTAGGCATGGAGAGGGCCGGGGCAAAAGGGGCCAAAAGGTGTCGGCAACTTTCAGGTCTTTAAACGGAGTCTAATGGTTTACAGAAGAATTACTAATTTCTTGGCCTTAAAATAACCACACACTCTCCACCTTCCAACATTTGATCACCAGACTTTTTTTGAATTGAAGTTACATGATCACCAGATTTTGGACTATTATTTATTTTTATTTTTTCGAACGCGGAAAATCATCATCAATTAAATTGAGACAGTTGTGCCTGGCCCCAGTAATGACTTTTCTCGATGGTTTCCTTTTAGATGATGCTTAATTACCCTGCACCGGGACCTTCACTTTCTTGGCAACTTGCAGAGCATTGACCATAACAATCAACTTAAGAATTTTGGGTACAAATGGATACATCACTTGCCCCACCCACATTGCTTGAATTTTCTCTTTAACATTCAAATAATATGGGAGGGGCGGTTCTGCTTCTGATATGGAAAAGCATTTTGATGATGATGGTTTTTTTGGGAGTTTTTGGGAATTGGTGTTCGGAAATTTGGAACGGGTCCACTGAATTTATTTGGGGGGCAGATACTTGCTTAGCACGTCAATTCAACACAAAAAGTTAAGAAGCCTGAGGAGTTTAGATTTGGTGGATTTGTTTTTGTTCGATACGTAACTGGCGGTATGTTATTAGGATTTTTTTAATGCCTGACTTGAAAGTATAAATTAATCGTTTTTTATATTAATTATTATCAAAAAAATAAAAATGAATTTTTATTTAATTAATGACTTAATTAAAACTGATGATGAATTAATATTCGTTTTTATTATTTTTAATACTAATTAATGATAAAATGATATATTAATTATACTTTTAATTTGTATACTAAAAAACCCATTAATGTTATTATTGTTTTATTATAGGAATATTAAAAAACTCTTATTATCATTATTATAATAATAGAAATGCTTACCGAATGCAATGTGGATTTAGAGTTTTGTATTGATGCAAATTTATTTGATATACATAAAAAAATAATAATAACTATTTGTTTTACCTCTTAAAAATTAGAAGAAAAATTATTTCAAAATTATATCGTTTTAATAAATTTTCATTGAAAAAGATT